AATGCAGATGGGGGGATTGTTGTTGGGGGGACAGAAATAAGGGAGAAAACTTAGAGACCATGTAGGAAAAGAAGAAACCGGCGGTCTCAGGGCATTGACCATAGCTTCACCAAAGGAAGGCATTGACATCCATTTGTCAACAGAACAGGGTTCAGGCGGTGTCAAACTTGAGGCTGTCCAACATCTTGTCGATTCGATGGAAGATTTGCTTTTTGACATACCATTCCCTCCGGCTGGTGATTTCGGTGATGAGTCCCTCGCGGATCCGCATGTAATCACCCTGGTCTCGTCCCAAACACCACACAACCGCTCGCTAGCCACAGTGACCATTGGATCTTGGGTTGAGGATGCTTTTCACTGAGTCCTTCATTATAGGTGGGAGATATTGGCGATAGCTGGATTTGTCCGCGTCGTCTGGCTCGTTTTCGTCACATGGTTTGGGAGGAGCCATAGCGGGTTGGTCTTTGGGGGGGGGGGGGGTTTGGACTTTGGCAGGGAGGCTTGCGGTTTTGATCGGTCAAATCTTCTTCTTTGGGGCTGGTCCTGTTTTGGTGGGCAGTGTTTCGGATTTGTTGGTCGTGGCGGTTAACACTTCGTCCATGTTGGCTGGCGGGGGAGCTTTGAAACGAGCATTCCGAGGAGGGAGGATCCTCTTCCTAGGTTCTGGACTGTTTTTCCTGGCCTCAGATGCCTCAATCTCTTCCTCTTCTTCCAACACCTTGTCTTCTTCTTTCTGTAATGCTTTCTGGTCAGCTTTTCGGAATGCCTTCATTGCCGCTTTCATATTGTTCAGCTTCTGTTTCTTTGCTTTGACAGCTTCACTCTCGTCTTTCTTCCTCTTCTTCTCGACATGTTCGAACTCCAACAGTTCCCGTTTGGTGGTCCTTGGTTTGTTTGTTGCGCCTTTCGGTCGTCCTCGAGTCTTCTGAGCTTTGGTCGTCAGCTGGACATCTACTACCGCCCTGGATCCTTCAAGCAGCTGGTTGATGGCGGCAATTTGGATTGCCTGCTGGGCTGGATTCATCGACCGTAGCCGATCCGTTATCTGCTCAATCATCGGGTTATCATTCTGGGTTGCCCTTGGGGATGGATCACGTTTGAGGACCTGAGGAGGGATTCATGTCAGAACCAAATGGGAAGAAGAACAAAATGGAAACACATGGGAAGAGATATGAAAACATACATTCATGTGCCATTGGAGATGGAAATCTTCCGGTGATACCATTCCTCCCGATCTTGAGATTTCCAAGAGTTGATGTTTGCAAGGTATGCCCATTCGAAGGACATATCGTTGATTGCAATGCGCATTTTCACCGAGTTTCTTCCCGGCCGTCAGATTATTGAAAGCCTGACTGAGTGCATAATTTGTGATCTTCCCAAGGCAGGGTCGGAAGATGCTGCCAAGGTATCGAAGTGTCGTGATCTTTTGCTGAAAATGGATGCTGGTGATCTGGTGATATTGCTCTTCAATGGCATTGCTGATGAGCTGGACCGCTGAGGCAAAAGTTTGTTGTGGCCCAAGGAGGTGAGACTTGATGAATGCATGGGCCGATTCCATTCGCGAGGTTGTCCGGTTGTTGAAATGAGTCACGGTGCATGTCCACGCATTGGAGTAGTGTTTGGCAACAGGTAACCAGGTTGAGGAGGCATATTTTTCAAAGTCTGGCCCATATTTGTGGGCCCAGCGGGAGAAACTAGCTTGAAAATCGGACCGGGTCGAAATCTTTACTATGTTCATCCAGTATTGAAGCATATCCTTTCGTTGTTCGTCTGTGGCAATGAGTTTTGCACCTTTGGCCAAGAGATTCTTCTGAATATGCCAAACACAAAGCATGCGGTGGGCGTTGGGGAACGAGGTTGCAAGGGAATTCATTAGAGCC